GGTATAAACGCCGGCGAAAATGGCGTCTCTGCAAATCGATCCTAAAAAGGATGTCGCACCGGCGACCGATGGAGGCGTACAATAGCCAGCGTCTCATTCGTTAACTCCGTGGAAATAAATAAAAATGCGAACGGGACATCGTAGATATCGAACGGGGTTGGTGGCGGTATATCGACTATGCGAGAAGCCGCGCGTACTCTTCGATAATCCATAAAGAATCGAGGCCTCCGGTGATTTATGGATTATAGCGCCAAAACACGCGAGCATGGAACTCGACAAAAAAGAGACGAACGCCGAGGAACGCCGTCTTTTCATCGTCCTTGTCAATGAAGCGAGTAGAAGTAGACGCTCAAAATGCTGATCATGTGAATTTACGACTTATCCGTTATCACGATCGTCAAACGCGATAGTCCGAATCTTTAAAAAAAAATGAATAACTTTGTAAAAAAAATCTGTTATAAAAATCTATTGATTCTTTAAAAAATCGATATGTTTGCAATGGATTAAACAAATTAATCCGTGACAAATAATACTAGACAAATAACACTAAATAATGTAGAACATTTTTTTTATCTACTCTTTTTTATTATTTGATTATACCGCAAAATTATCAATAAACATAATCAATATTTGTAGAAAATAAAAAAAACAAATATATAAGCAACTATGCGTGAATCGGAATGAAGAGACCATGTTTTTCAAATTCAGATGGAACCATCGACATTTAGAAACAGAGCTTAAAGGCAAATGCGGTCAGTGTGCCTTCATGGGCTGAGAAATACGAGTAGTTGAATGGCTCGTGACCTTGGCCCCGAGGCTGTTAGCCTGGGGTTGGTAAGGTAATTAAATGCCATGGATGGGGTTGGTTGCTATAACCGGCAGGATAGAACGAAGGGTATCCAGGGGGGATGAGACTAATTGCCGATGCAAGGAAAACCATCCCTCGCCGTGCCACTGGAGGATCTTTCAAGGTGCTCATCCTTCTGATTATAGGACGCCGTTTTATTAAGAATTTACTCTTCTAATGTTATTACTATATAATATCTAATTGTTTAATGTAAACAAATATCAACGTTTCATGTTTCAACATTGTATATTTTATTTATTTTCAAAATTAATTGTTAAAAACCTTTCATATATATTATTAATGTTTATAATGTCTCTTAGTTTTAATATTAATATATAAGCAAAAAGAAACATTTTTTGTTAAAAAAATAAAATATGCTTCCTCTATTTAAAAACTAATATAAATATATTTTTAAAAATATTATAAATAATAAGATAAATATTAAAAATCTAATTAATGTAATTCATAATATCATTTATAATAAATAATAATAATTATGTCATTTATAATAAATAATAATAATTATTATTATGTACAGTTAATAATTATAGTAAAAATACATGCAAAAACTTATTTTTGTTTTTCAAATTTCACTTAAATTTTGAATGAGTAGATGGTATATTTAATAAAAAAATTATATATATATATATATATATATATATATATATATATTATATAGTAAATTATTATTAATAATAT